AAAACCCGGCAAGGACCCGAAAAATCCTTTAAATTACCGCCCCACCGTGCGCACTAGCTGCCTTTGTAAGATCATGGAAAATGTGGTAAATCATTGTCTCACCTACTATCTGGAGACTAATCATTGCCTATCGCCTTACCAAAGTGGTTTCCGTAAGGGAAGATCTTCATTTGATAATGCCCTGTTTTTAGAAACTGCAGTGTATTTGTGAAAAGAAATCATGTGGTTTCAATCTTCTTTGGCATGGAAAAGGCGTACGATAGAACTTGGTGGCATGGAACTCTTCATGACCTTTACAGCACTGGGTTGCGAGGTAATTTACCCATCTTCATTCAAAACTTTCTGAAGGACTGCACTTTCCAAGTTAAGATTGGTTCGTTGCTTTCTCAAGTATTTGTAGAAGAAGGTGTAGCCCAAGGTTCAGTGCTCAGTGTTACTCTTGTAAACCTAAAAATTAATTCCATTTTAAAAGAACTTTCTCCCACAGTGCATGGTTTCCCTGTATGTTGATGATTTGATGATCTCTTGTCATTGTCAAGATATGAGATACATTGAGAGACAACTACAAATTGCTCTAAACAGAATCATAAAGTGGTTCAACAACAATGGTTTTAAATTTTCTAGCCATACCGACCTGAAGAGAAGACCGTCTGCGTGCATTTCTGTCGCAAAAGAAATCTACATCCTGATCCAGAGCTGCATCTTGACGGCTCTTTGATCCGTGTTGAGCCAGAAGCAAAATTCTTAGGAGTATTTGACTGAAAGCTCACTTTCCTTCCGCATATCTTAAATCTAAAGAAAAAATGTGCCAAAGCTCAACATACTGAAAGTCCTGGCCAATACTTCATGGGGAGCAGAATGTTGTTCTATGCTCCGCATTTATAGAGCTTTAATCCACTCCAAACTTGTCTATGGTTGTGTTATCTATGGATCAGCAAGACCTTCTGTGCTACTGAAATTAGATCCAGTCTACCACCAAGTGCTATGGATTTGCTGTGGAGCTTTCAGAACATCTCTAGTCCAAAGTTTATATGTCATCTGTTTTGAACCGTCTCTGGAATTCAGACACCAAGCAGTTGTCCATTGATCTTTATTATAAAGTAATGTCACAAGCCGAACATCCTGTCTGACTCATGACATCTGTTCTGTACTGGCGTATCTATCAAGCACGTCCTTCATGTATCCCACCTTTAGATCTTTGCATTCACTCACTGATTGAAGAATCTGGCAAGAAGTGAATATTCACCTACTTAACATTTTTGGAGAACTTAAAAAGAGCAGTACCAATGATGTCCGATATCAACAAATTTTCCTAGAGCATAGAAACAGTCATTCTAAGTATAAAGCAATTTTTACTGATGGCTCAAAGAATCATGATCATGTCAGGGCAGCTTTTGTTTGTGATAAAGAAATCAGTAGTAAATTTCATAAGGCTGCACTTGTCTTTACTGCAGGAACATTTGCCATTTTGAATTCCTTAATCTTTATCTCTAAGCAGAATAGCAGAAAGTTCATCATCTACTCTGACTCTCTGAGTGCTGAATCAATAAATACAAATACTAGCCACCCTTTTGTCTTAGAAATTTTAAAGGTACACTTCCATTTGAAAAACACAGGTTATTGTGTACTGCTGAGTGCCTGGACATGCTGGCATCAAAGGCAATGAACTTACCAATGTTGCAGCAAAATTTGCTGATATTACCTCTGAAAATAATGTCCCCTTTACAGACATATGGAATTACATCAGAACAAAGATCTTGTCCAATTGGCAAGAACTCTGGGAATGCTAGACACTTAACAAATTAAAGCAGGTAAAACCCAATTTGGAGTATTGGGAGTTGAGAGGGAATCGAAAGGAGGATGTACTGCTGACTCGCCTATGAATTGGTCACTGCAGATCGACACATCAGTATCTCTTGAAAAGAGATAATGAGCCTATTTGTAGCACTTGCAATGTTCCCGTTTCAGTGAATCGCATTTTAGTTTGTTCTGCTTTTAGTCAGGAATGTGAATATCATTTTAACTCTACGAATGTTAATTTAACAGATCTCATCGGAAGAAACCCTCACGGCAACCTTATAAGATTTTTAAAAGACATCTCTTTTTATCATATGCTTTGAAGTTTTTTTCTTTTATCCTGCTGTACCTGTTGCTAGAGCATTTCTCAAAGTCATTTCTCCATGCCTTCATCAGCATTACAGGTTCATTTCAACAATTCATCTGATACAGTGTGTTTGTGCATTCTGGATTTTATTCACCATTCGTCTGGCACATAATAACCTTCAAGGCTTTGTGCCATTAAAAGTCGACCAACCATTCATTACTGTTATGCATTGCGTAAATGATTTTCTGTAACCATGAATAAATCAGTAGCACTAGCAATTTCATTATTTACCTCAAATTTACCCTTTTGTTTTCCTTAACAGATTTATTCTTAAAATTAAAATCTGAAACTGTTGTTCTGTTTCAACATTGTTTTGAATAAAATTCATTAAATCGCCAAGGTGATCTTTTGGTGCTCCTACAACTGATAGTCTTCGCCAGGCTCTTAAAATTCTTTTGGAACACAAGTTTTCACCTGTGGAACAGAACAGCATTATATGTTTCACTTGTTACATCTAGAGATTCTAATTCCCTCAAATGAGATTCTAATCCGTCATGCAAAGTGCAGAGGTAAAAAAAGTATTTGTCATGCTGTTTTGAATGACTAATGACAAGAATTCTATAATGTGAACTTCTATTAATAAATTATTTTGCCAAATCTTAATCTTATATCTTCTGTTCTGATAATTATCTGCATCTAACTATGTACTTCTTCTCTAGCATGAGAATAAATCACAGTTGATGTGATAAGATACTGGAATTTATCTGCAAAATCTATATTATAATCTTCATGCATTTTCTTAAATAAGACACAAAATGGCAACCATTCTTTAATATTTCTATCAAGTTTCTTTAACTCAGTTTGCAGAAGTTTAAACTTTTGTTTCTTGCTAAAAATTTACACAATCGACATTAGCTTCTTAACTTGTTATATCTAAAAAATTTTTAATCTTAAAATAATTAGTTAGATAATGGTCAAGAGACTTTTGTTTTCTGTGACCTTTTCCGTCTTGTTAGATTCTGACATTCCATCCATTATTTGATTATCCAAGCTTCATAATTCTTCAAATTTTTACTGTAAAATCTGAAATTTTGATTGCTCTTTGATTATGTTTTCAGTGTCCTCTGTCTTCCTATATATCAGTGATTAATATGCATGAATGAACTTTTGCCACTTTTCTCAATTTGATGATCTTTTCCGTGTATAGAAATAATGTCCTGTCGCATACACCAAATGTGTTGGAAAAATAAAATTATTCACTTTCATTAAATAATACTCTACCGAGTCATGTTATGTGACAAAAAAATGTTTTCGTAAGTGTAATTAAAACAAATTTATGTAGAGAAAAATTGCAGGTTTGTTTTGGTTTCACATAACAGTATCTTAAGAGAGAAGAATAGAACACGCTGTTGTTAGTCTGCTGCAGCTAAGTATTGACATCAAATGATGTGGCTTGTCAATAGCCAACAGTGCCTGTTATAAAATTATATTATTTAGCTGGTAATTAAATCTTATGTTAAGGTATCTAAATACTTAAAGCATGAAGTAAGAGATGCAATGCTAAAGTAATTTTGATAAAACAGATGAGAATACCCCATAAAATATTTATCTAGTGTTTTATGAATTTCAACAGCATATCTGTAAAAATATTTTCATGTTAACTAAATAATTTCACTACTCAATTTTTTGTTTCCAGTTTAAATATGTTTCTCTGGATCTAATTGTCCAAATTAAAATTTTAATTAGAAAGAGAATTTTTGATAACTTTTTACAATAAAGTAGTTTAGAAATATTTATTACATCATGCAATTCAAAACAAATGATGCATAAAAAAATATGCCTGTGACTGTTGTCAGAAATTTATTTAACAAATCCAAATATTGCACAAAAAGTTAGTTCTCCAAATTTATTCATGAACTCTGAAAAGTGTATTTTCAAAATGCTCAGTAGAGCACTGATACTGAAAACAGGTGCATAAACTTAAAAAGAGCATATTTTGTGCTAAAATATACAAAAACTTCATTAGTAACCATTGATCAAATATGCAGTACCATCAACCAGCTTCTTCCAGAATACTGGATTAATTGTGCTGCTTAGAATAAATGTCTTGATAATCTAGACCCTCAGGTCATCCAGCTTATGATTTTTTCCTGTTTTGTTCCTTTTATTCATAGCTGTAATAAAAATTGGAATAAAGCATATCTAGGAAGTTAAAGTTAACAGATGTACTAACTAAAGGACACTACATTTTAAAATGCAGTGCCCTTTATGTTACAAATACCATATCCCTACATTTCCTTGCAGATCCCTACATTTCCTTGCAGAAAACATTTTTCATTACAATGTAAAATCAAAGTGTTTGAACAGAATATGGTGTTGCATACAAACGTTTCCTTACAATGCAAAAAGATGTTTGCACACGTACTTTCATGGGACTTACACAATTAAAGCAGCAGAGAGGTAACAGGTCTGAACAGACTAAGCTGGCATGGATATGACAAAAATTGGACTATTGCATAGATTTTTGCCATATCACAGGTGACCATAACACATAATAAACATAAAACATAAATTTACACATAAAACATCTGGTTATTTGTAAAAAAACTTGGGAAGTTTACCTACCCACTCTGTGAAATAAATTCAGTGTAGGAGTGACATGTATGCTTTTATACATCTTCTTATGCTGTTCATTTTGAATTATTTTCTGTATGTAATTTTGAAGTGACTTAATTGTTATTTTCAGTTTCTTAATTGTAGTACTAAAATGCAATCTATTTCATTTTTACATTAACTATGTTAAATCAAAAATTGTATAAAGGCAGAATTAAGAGTGTATTGTTATATTGATTAAAACACCATTGTAATAAACTAATACTATATTTTGCTTTTGAAGGTATGCACTCAGGATGATGATTCAAAAAGTACTGGTGATGTTACATATACTCAAATTACTCAGATGAACTGCTTACAGAACCATGTATCTAATGATTCTGTTGCAGATAGTAAAGATTCAGTTTCTAATGATGGAGACTGCTTGCAGTCTGCAAAAGATTCAGATGTAAATAGTGATTTTGACAAAAACTTCTTATTTTCACAAATTCAAGAAAATGCTGTAACATACAGGTTGGCTGGACCAAATGAGCTGCCACCTACGTCTGGTAATCTCTTGATTGTAAGATCAAAGCCATCGACAGATGGACTTTCTCCTCCAAAGGAACAAAATGGGTCTAGTGTTACATTTGTAAATAGCAACAGTGCCGTCACTGGTCTGTCATTAGTAGCACAACCTCTGATTCAGCCAAAGATTCTTTCTTCATCTGCAAGTATTTTAAAGTCTGTTTTAGGTGAATTAGATACTCAGACTGATGATCTTGCTAAACAGCAACAGTTACATAAAGATAAAATATGCAAAAGAGCACCACTTTTAAATGGTTTGTTAGATAAAGGGAAAGTTTCATTACCTGAACTACAATCAACTCAGTTAGTGCAGAATGGAAGTAAAACTACTAGTGTTGGGTTTGAACCTAATAGTGATGAAAGTAAATCTTCCACGTCTTTTGTGCAATCAACGTTAAACTCGGGTGTCATACCTGTATCATCTTTGAACTCTGTTGTGCCGACATCATCATTAAATTCTATTGTCATACCTGCATCATCACTGAACTCTGTCATCATACCAGCTTCATCTTTAACATCTGCCATTGTACCATCATCATCAACATCATCTTTAAACTCTACTGTAACATATGTGTCCACTTTAAACTCATCAGTAACGCCGGTATCTGTTTTGAACTCTGCTATTTTACCTGCAACTGCATTTCATTCAAATGGGGACAATTTAATGCAGATTTGTACAGGCCAAACAACACTATCTGGAACCATAGAAGTACAACCAGATCAAAAAGGTGTTGTGAGACTGCATATAGAAAGTCCTGAAAATTCTAACCAAGGGTCTGATTTATCTTCAATATCAGATATAACTCGAACTTTAGAATGTGCATCAAAGGCAATATCAAGAACAAATGCTGAATGCAACACACAAGTGCCTTTTTGTGGCGCTTGTGAAACTACAGCAACTGTTACAGTAATTACTACAAATACATCAACTTTAGCAAGGACAGGACAGCAAATAATTGTTGTAACACCTGCATTAAATCAACCACAATTACATATACAGTCACCTAACATTAAGTTTCGCATTTTGCATAGTATACCAAAAGTAGAAGAATCCGTTGATTTAATAGGCTTCCCACGAGTACATTTAAATCAACTAAACCAGTTACGGCAACCTTCTCCTGAAACTCCCTCCATTACTACTGCCAGTTTGAAAAGGCCGTCCAGTGAATCCATGTGCATTGCTAATGATGTGAAAAAACCTCGTATTGACACAAAAACTCCTTTGTTAGAAGCTACTCTTCGTTTACCCACCCCAGTGCCATGTTCTGTTTCAGCTTCAGATGTCAATGCCAAACCATTCCATGAACCTCAGTCCTTTTTAATAAAATCATCTCAAATTGAAAATCTTGGATCTACACCAAAATTAACCACTGCTAAAGCAGTGGCTGTGCCTGTCCAAAATGTAGACTTTCCTAATGAAAGAGAAGTTAAAACATTTTCAGGTTTATCGTCTGCTAGTGATAATCCTTCCCTTACAGCACCCTCTCAAGTACCACCAAGGTCTATTTCTTCTGCAAAGCTAGAGTATTTTTGTGAATGGAAAGATTGTGGCCTGTAAGTCAATTTTAATTTTTAATGGTTTTTATGTTTTGTTTTTTGTTAATATTATGAACTGGTACAATTTTCAGAAGTATGAGATGGCAGTGATCCAGAAAAACAGTAATGCAAATGATTTCAAAAATAAAACAACTCATTTCATTAAAATTTTTTCTGTAAACTTAAAAAATAAAACAGTGGCGTTTCTGTCAATTTGAGTCTGGTGAATGGTAAAGTATATACGTTTTTGCGAGATTAGCTAATCCATATATGAGCTGACCCCATATAATTAAGCTTTAGAAAAAAGTTCTCGTCTTGTATACAGAAATATAAGGTAAATTATTAAAACAATAATTTTAATTTAGTTTGTTGGAAAAACTATAGTACTAATTTAGTTTTTGCATTTCGTTCATTCAGGTAAAGTAAGTAATATCTGAAAAATTTTCCCTTTGATATTCTTGTTGCCAGTGTATGTAGCATAAAAATCTTTTATAATTGAAGGTACTTGCATTTTCTATTTTTTTATTGTCAGAAACTGATACTTCATTTAAATGTTAATTAAAAAAATTAGTAAACACATTGTGTATTATACAAAGTTCTGTATATTTCCATGCATAAGCTAAGAATTTTTGGAATTTTTTTTGAAGTAAAATTATGCAGGTCAGCTTAAATACGGATCCACTAATCCTGCAAAAAATGTGGATACTTTTCTGTTAATCAGGCACAAGTGATAAATCATCAAATATAGCACTTATTTATTTATTAAGTTTCTAGAAGAAATAATTTTTGAATGAAGTTATTCTTTTTATAAAAATTAATTGTTTATGTTGTTGACTTCTCTTGAACTTTTCTATCATTTATGGAGAAATGTAGTGGAGCCATATTTTTGTTAGAGTTTCTAGCAGACATGATCACCTTTAGTTTTAAATATGGCATAAAAGAAATTCCCTTCCTGCTCGTATTTCAGGCATAATAAAATAGCACAGGACGACTAGCACATATACCACAGATCGTATACAAGACAACAAAGGAATAGAAAAATGTGCTAGCTTGAGATAGGGTTTACTAGTTAAAACTATTGTTGTTGATGTCAGGTGTTTTAATTTACAGTGATTTATTATAAAATATTTCACCCATTTTACCTGCATAGCAACATTATCATCCTCATGGTGATACAATTGAACACTACAGTAATTTTTTTTTTTTTTTTTTTTTTTTTTTTTTTCCATTTTGGCTTGCATATGCATTTTGTGTAAACTTTTGAAGAAAGCATTCTCTTGGCTCATATATGGCTTGGCTTAATTTGAACATATATGGTAAACATTAGATAATATTGCAATCATGTACATTCTATAGAAAAATAGCGTTCATGTAAATAAAATTGGGTACCCATGCCGCCTAATTTTTCGCCAAGCTAAGATGTGAAAGACAATAATCATTTTTAAAAATAGCAGTACACTATAAGAATTGCAGAAAACAGCAACCAGCTAACAAAATTAAAAATGTAAGAAACATTTTTAACAAAACACTTGTTTTTTTCACTGTTTTCCACGTATGAAAGCGTTTTGTTTTAGCTTTTAAAAAAATCAGAATTGTACAAACCAGCATCCCACACAACTTGGCAGTGCAAGCACTCACTGTCTTTCTCCCCCATGTACATAATGATTTGTTGTTGCTTAAAACTAAATTAGAGAATTGCACAAATTCAGCATTACACGTAAATTTTATTCCATAAAATTCATTGTTTAAGAAATATAACTCCATGCAAAGTTTTGCATTCTCTATTGTTGGGCAAAATGCTATATTTCTGAAAATGTGCAAGGTTTTCTTTTTCAACAGTCGATGAACTTAACAGTTGCATTGCAATTTTTTACAAGGGTGAAAAGTGCTCAGATCGGTAGTGGATAGATAATTCATGTGCAAGATTCCCTCGCAAATCTTCGAGCTGTTACATTGTGGGAGATGACATGCTCTGACATTAGATAAGCAATAACTTATTCAGTAAGGCCTCCACTTGACATTACATAAGTCATTGTTTCACAACCAGTGTCATATTTTAGTGATCTGCACTGTGCCTGTCATCAATTAATATTTGTTATGATGGGCTGTCGCTGTTTATAACAAATCGTTGCTGTCTCAGTGACAAGTATGCCACAAGGGAGCATGACATCGAGAAGTCTGGACTGGGTAACAGGAGGTCAGAGATGGCGAAAGGGTGTGACCAACGTCACAAGGCAAAAGCCAGAAGGTGGGAAAATTAACTAGGAGAGGCTGTGGCAAAATGATGGATCTGACAGTTTGCATACATGAAAAATGGATGGTAAACAAATACATAAGACAAGAAAATACAGTTACAGAATTTTATTAAATAACATCAAATTTAAGATACAATAGCAAGCAGAAATACTAATTTAGAAGTCAAGAACAAAAATAAGTGTTATATTTTAAAATTTTCACATGACTAGGTTCGATAGTTTTACCGAACCATCATTCTCAGCTGTAAAAGTGCAAATGAACGAGATAAGATATAATGATTAGATAGGATAAGGAAGCCTGGGCAGGAGATAAGCTACTGGCACCATCTCTTAATGAAACCAGAACTAAAACATAATTTCTTTAAAGGCTGAAGGCAAAGATAGATTGGAATTAGGGTCGTTAACTAGAACAGAAAGAATTTTTTTTTAAAGTGAAATGCCTCTAGAAAATCCAGTTCACCTATGGAAGATGTTTTTGAATAATTTTGGCTGCAAAAAAATTGAAAGTGTTAATTTTCGGACCAACACTGCTGGGCAACAGAAGACTTCTGTGTTTTTTTTCTTCTCACATATGCCTCATGTTCCTTAACGTGAAATTTTAAGGCTCTCTTAGTTTGGCCAATGTAAATTAAACTGCACTGACAATTTAGTTGGCACACTGGATTTTAGTTGCAAATATTTTGTTTTCTGTTCATTTCAGTCTGAAATTTTTCTGCTATTTTGTGTGTGCTTTATTATTGGTTAGTTAATTTAGTTTGATTTTCTGGTTTGTTTATCATGCCTTCATCCATTAATCGTTTCACTAAATTACGCCTGAAAAAGAGAGAGATTCCTGAATCATCATGACTTTCTACTTAAGTGTAAAATGTAAAAAATTGATCCACAATTTCATTCAAATCAAAAACCTTCCAGTCGCGTTTCAAGAATTGTGTTAAACTGCAAGCTAGCCTTACTTCAGTTCATCATAAGGGATACAGGTCAACAGTTATCCAAAATTGAATATGAGCTTTATAAGATTCATCTGGAACTCTGTAATTCATATCCAAAATTCACTGCCCTTGAACAAAAGTCTTGGTCTAGAATAGAGAATGCAATTAACCGTCATAAAAACACCCTTGCAGTTAAATTCGAAAAACTTCTTTTACAGTCTTCCAGTTCAAGTAGATCAAAAAAGCTTCCCATTGTAGACATTAAGCCAATAGTTAATATATCTAATGTTAGCTTATCAGAAGAAAAAGAGAGAATTCTAAAATATCATTTTAACTTCTCACAAACCTCTAAACCCTCAATTCCAAAGATTTTTGGCTCCTATCGAAAAAGCTTTCAAGTTCAGTAAAGTTTCAGATTCATAGAAAGAAATGATTAGGCATCTTATCGCTCATAATGTGAAATTCAATAATAAACCTTTGAAACCAAATCTAACCGCAAGAGAAAGAGCTATAATGCGCAAAATTTATTCTAAAGATCCTTCACCTTCGGACATGTCAAAAATAAAAACTGCGATCAAATCTTCACAAATCCTTTCAACCAACTTAAAACATTCACTTATCCCATCTGTTGCGAATTGTGCCAGATTATATGCTCTTCCCAAAATTCATAAAAGTGGTATTCCTTTCCGCCCTATTGTATAAAATTTAGGTACTGCCTCGTATCCCGTTAGCTAAATATTTAGGTTCTAGATTTTCAACTCTATTAGACAATAACATTTACTCCCATAAAAAATTCAATAGAATTTGTAAAAAGAGTTTAAAAACATTTCTCCTAGAAATTTACTCATGGTTTCTCTTGATGTAAAATCGTTATTATGCACCAATGTTCAAGTGGAGAGGTGCATTAAGATGCCTAGAAACCAGACTTTCGCGAATTTCAATTTCTCTTGCATCGAAATTGATGAGCTAATTTCTCTTACTCAACTCTGTTTGAAACAAATGCATTTTGTTTTCCAAAGTAAATATTACAAGTAAACTGTGGGATTAGCCATGGGAAGCCCCCTCAGTCTCATCTTGGCTGAGATCTACATGCATTATTTATGAATCAAAATTGTTTGAAACTTTGAACTTCCGCGTATGGTTCCACTACATAGGCGATACTTTTATCCTGTTGGAAGGTAATAAAGATGATTTAAATAATGTTCTTTCAACAATGATTTCCAGTGATTCTGCTATTCAGTTCACTTTTGAACTTGACACTTGCAGTTATCTTTCATTTCTCGACATTCTGGTCAGAATTAGCTATAAAATTGCATGTATTTTACAGAAATTTAACTTTCGGGTCGTTTATTCTCCCATCAACAAAATTCCAAGTTCATACTCAAGGACCCCATTCCGGATATGAATTCCTGGGTTATTTACAGGATTCCTTGCCAGTGTGGTTTAATTTACATTGGCCAAAATTTCGCGTTAAGGAACATGAAGCATATGTTAGAAAAAAGGAAACACAGAAGTCTTCTGTTGCCCAGCATTGTTGGTCCGAAAATCACACTTTCAATTTTTCTGCAGTCAAAATTATTAAAAAAACATCTTCCATTGGTGAACTGGATTTTCTAGAGGAATTTCACTTTCAAAAAACTCTTTCTGTTCTAGTTAACGTCCCTAATTCCAATCCATCTTTGCCTTCAGCCTTTAAAGAAATTATGTTTTAGCTCTGGTTTCATCAACAGACGGTGCCAGTAGCTTATTTTCTGCCCAATCATGACGATTCTGTCCAATCAATCTGACGATGGTGGTTCTGGAAAACCATCGAAACTAGTCCTGTGAAAGTTTT